GCAGTTTCTTCTCAGCAGCCGAAAAAGCATTTATTGGAATATCAGACATTTCAAACAAGGGATACAAGGAACCCTGACAATAAGCTTTATGTTACACATTGTGGGAACTTTAGAGAAAAGTACTCAGGTACTATTTACTCATTTAGATGGTTCTAAGTGGACCAAACATAAGGTTAGGGTCTCCAAGAACAATTTAACATTTGGTTGTTTGTATTTTTATAATAAATTCTAAATATGCTGACATCATAATATCTTTAGTTTTATTAAGATATTTTATTGTTTGTTTGATTTAATAATGTTTGTTTTTGAAAAACGTAAAATTTTGTTATTTAGCAAAGATTTTTAATCTGTAGGTTATTTTTTCACTTCCTTGTTGTGATTGGAAACAACAAGTTTAAACCACATGAAAAGTTTGATGCAAATATAATGCAACCTCTTTATTTCATGACTTTTAGCAGTGATGCTTTCAGACAAAGGGCTGTAACGGCACTATACCACAGCTGCAGTGAGTTTAGAGCAGGTGTGAGAGCGATGCAGCGATAGAGAAACAGAGAGGCCCCAAAATCTTATTTTTCTTAGAGGCTCGTGGAGGCTCGGAGCGGCCCCGGATCCCATTAAGGTGCTGTAGTGGCCCCATCAAAGAAACCAGCTCAGCTGTTTTAAGGCTACACTGACACCATGATCCATCTTACTATAGGACAGTCAGCCAGAAATAGGGTGGGGTGGGGTATGTATATATTTGAGCTCGCATGTATACATTCTTAACAGTGTAGATTAGAGACAATCCACAATAAATCAGCACATTCTCCAGCAGCCCAAAAGAAACAGAGAACAGATCCAATAAATAATCATAAGCCTGAAAATCTCGACACTAGTGGATGAAAATCTTTGGTTTTAGCAGAAACAATCAGTGTGTTTAAATGCTAGAGACAAACACAAAGCTTTATGGTTGCTACAGACGTTCAGACGGTCCATGGTGGTTCTGGAGGCCAAACAATGAGAAACATTTATTTTTTAAACTGTTCTCCGTCTGAGGCTAGACTGGAGATGATAACTGAGTGGTTGAAGTAAAACCACAGCAGAGATGTGCAGCTTGATTGGAAACCGTCATTGTTCTCAGCTCTTTGTGTTTCTATATCCGTCCTGACAAAAGCAGGCTGCCCAGCGTTCCCAGCCCAGATGTTACACATTTACTGGTTCCTTGTACCAATTGACCTTTTGCTCCAGCCTGACCGCCGCTGTCTGCGCATGTTAAGGCAGAACCAGTCTGAAAGGTTGGCTGGGGACTCTGGGTTTGAGATAAACAGCAAGCGAACCTGCCGCATCAGTCAGGCGGCTCATTCGCGACACCAACTACAGTCAGTTATAACGGCTGAGGTTGGTGTCGGAGCGAGACAGAAACACTATAGATGTTGGTCACAAGGTTCTGTTGCATTTGTAGGAAAATCTGCCACCTTTTCCTGTTTTTCTGGTTTATTGTCAACTCTGATCCACGTCTGTTAGATCAATGTTCCCGTCATCTTCTTGGCTGAGAACGTCCCCCAGAGGAGAGTCTTCCCTCTGGAAGGGTAGTTTGGTTCATCCCCTGTGAGATCAGTCAAAAACAGTTCAGGTAGGAGCCTTATGGTAAATTGGTACTGCAAAAAAATGAACCCAAAAGAACCTTGCCGCATGGGAAGAACAGGGAACCGGCTGGGATCTGAATACAAAACCTTTGAGATGAAAGGAGGAAGCAGTGAAACCAGGAATCCATCTGACAGATGCAGTTCAGACCAGAGTTCTGGTCAAGTCCGGCTAGAGAAATTTCAGAACCACAAACTGGTTCCCCCATAAATCCATCTACTGACCACTTCTTTAGTTCTTTCATTCCTCCGTTATGATGCAGAGACCGTAACTAGCTGGACAAATGTTCGTAACTAGCTGGACAAATGTCCGTAACTAGCTGGACAAATGTCCGTAACTAGCTGGACAAATGTCCGTAACTAGCTGGACAAATGTTCGTACCTAGCTGGACAAATGTTCGGATCTGCGCTAACAGATGCTGGATGGACCAAAACAGGACATACCATCCAACAGTGGGACGAATAAAGGGGCATTTAGCAGGAAAAAGCTGAGGATTTAATACAGCGGTTTCACCAGAGGAGGTTCTGGATGGGAAGCTGCACCAAGAGCAGAAGGTCACAGAACCAGAGGTGGAGCTTTGTGAGCAAACATCTGGTTTATTAAATCCTCTGTTCACTGCCATACAGGCCGGCAGAGGAAGAAGCTGCTTCATTAAAGTAAAGTCTTATTTATTCCCTGAGGTACAAACTAAACAGTTAAAGTGGAAATCATGTTACTAAAGAGCAACGTCCGGGACAGCGTCGCTCTGTGGCGTCTGTTCTGACCTTTGGAGCAGCGAAGCAGCGTTCCTTAATTCATCAGCATCATAAGAGAAGGAATAAACCATCAGTTTGGCACTCCGCTGCTTCCTTATGGCTTTCTGCGCTTTTTAAAAAATGAAATCAAACAAACTGGTCTGATTTTAAAGATAATATATTCGGGTTTAATGGTAAGTTTTTATGACTGAAATCCTGACTGAAGACCGCTGCTGCAAAATGTCTTTAAAAGTTGTTTCCATGGAGATGGTCTCCACTCTATAAGGCTCGGGCACAGCGCGTTGCATTCTGGGTACGCCGCCATATTGGTAGCTAGTTGCTACGGTAAACAAAGACCTAAAACAGCATAGAGACAGAGCAGAAAGACGAGTAAACAGCGATGTTAAAAGCGAAGAAAGGATGCGGAATATACCGAGACACACTGCAGAGGGAAGCCAGGGACCGTTATCTGCAAAAGATGGGCTTCATAAACGGACTTGATCCCTACGAAGTAGAAAGCAAGGAGTGGTGCGTTGGGGAAGAATTTCTACCGCCGTTTGCAAGGGAGGACGTATTTTCGTATCTAGTGTGTGGCGTCAGTGCCTACACACATGAAGAGTTTCGCTGCTACAAGTCGCTAGAGGCTTACAAACAGCTGACAGATGGAAAAGTTCATGACATGGAAGTTATCAAGCCGAATGAGAACACAGTCATCAGAGCCAAGGTAAGCTACCGTCTCAACATGGTGTGGTGTTTGTTGTGGTGATAAGACTAGGTGCTGGCACTTACGTAAAACATCAAAAATTTATCTACTGGCTTTCCTGGTGAAACAACCAAAACTATTAACCCTATTATAAACTATTAATGACAAAATAAACAGAGTAGGACAACTGTTTTGTGTTTCAGTGGACCTGGCTAACCCTCTGGAACACAACCCTACTTCAGCTCATGCTACATGCTACAGATCAGCCAACAACGGTTAACTTGAAATGATACATGAATAAAAACAGTATGTTCTGTAACTTACCAGAATGAAAATGCCGGGAACACACTCTCATGGACGCAGGGATTGAGTTGAAAGTTATATTTGGCCGTCTTACAGCAGCGACCCATGCTAGCCGGCGACTCTTTGTTATGGAGGACATTTGTTTTCCATTGAGACGCCTCCAGGTTGGAAAACGGTAAAAAGACAATCCATTTGGGATTTTTTTCCCCGTCCAGTCACAGCTTGCGCTACTACACCCTACGACACAGCAACGGGCGACCATAACGACAGCAGAGGTAAAATGAAACGGCAAAAAACTAAGCAAACTACTAGCAGAAGAAAGCTCGTCCTTACAGGCGCGAAGTCAAAGTGTAAACAGTGGGCTGACCAGCTATCAATATGGCTGCTGCGCAACGTGTGACGTCATGTGCCCGAGCCTTATTTAAAGGTTATAGCTCCAACTTATTTAGAAACATCCACATAACGTCTGCAGAAAAGCTATACATTCTGATAAGAAAATGTTTTTTTTCTAAATAATTGTTTTATAAATTTTGACTGACCGAAAACAAAAATATGTACCTGTGGTTACCATGCCAACGTCAACGTTAAAGGGTTCTGGCCAAACAGAGATAGTAAGACAAATGGATGATCACTACTTTTCAAGATGCATTGAAATTTTGACTCCACTACTTTTTCATCCACTAGATGTTCGGACACTCAATTACCAATAGCGTAACCACTATATATTACCCTATATAATGATTAGGACGGACATCCGGACACAGCCAAAGTCAGGCGTCTCCTAACAGCATTAGCCTAACAGCTTCTTCTTCTCTGGTTTTCATTTCTCAGATTCAAAGATGGAACGAAACACAAGCATGAGCCCATCTCTCCTCATGCACGCTCTGTGCATGCATACAAGCTTTCTGTGCCCGAACATCTGCCCTAACCCTTAAATCCCTCAATGACTATATAGAACGGGGACTAACTGACCGCTCAGACGGATGATCACTACTTTTTAGTCCGTTGGTCATGTAATTCCTCCTCCGCTGCACAGTGCCTGCAAAATCTTTGTTATTAGTCGCTGCTGTCAGGTAGCGCACCCTACATTGACGATGGGCCGCTGTAAAGAGAGCTCTGTGTTCAAAGCATTCTGGGATAAATCTGCCTCTTCTTCCCTTACACTTCGTAGACACTTTTTCTCTTACGACCCTCCGCCATTTTCAAAGAACCGCGGTGAGAAAGGTGAGCTTCAATGACTTTCTGAAACCGTAGCTCACCACAGATATACGCCTAAAAGTGCGCATGCAAAGAAAATACAGCTACCAGGATGAGCACGTAGGACGGTCTGACATAAACATATCAGCAGAATGATTGACAATTAGAAGGACCACTTATTTAGATGATCTACCAGGAAATAAAAGATTGTCCTTTAAACATTGGACGTCCAGGATATTTCCTGAGATGATGCACTAACTGTGTTTGGGTACTTCTTAATTTTCCATCAGAGCGTTGGATAAAGCAGGAGGTTTCCTGTTCAGGAAGTGACCAATGCCTGTAGATCACCTTGCCTTCACCAGCTGCTAACTCTACTGCAGCTCTCGGCTCTTTGCTGAGGACTGTCAGCCAAAGACTTCAGGGAACACCAATGTCTTTTAAAAAAAAGTTTAATTTCTCCCCAGATTCCTTTCAAACATCCAGAACCTCAAACTAAAGTCGGCTGCCGGTTCAACATCTTTCATAATTTTCCACAAAGAGTCGCAGGAGAAAACAACTGAACCAGGTTTGTACTGAACACAGAGCTCAGGAGAAGGAAGGCAAATATGCCGTCAGTTGATCAAGTTCATGCTTCCTCCTTTCTGCTCACATAAAAAAACAGATAAATACAGAGAACAGAGAATAAAAAACCAACATACAGCTTTGATTATGCAATCCAGGCCTGTAGCACAGCTGTGGAACATTTGTTTTTAAATAATGTGATATATTGGGGTGCTTGGCTTTGGTACACAGTCTGTCTCTTCCACTGTGCTTCTGGCTGAAAAGCTCCTTCTCCAAGAATCCATCTCAGAAACCAATGTATTGATCATCATTAACATGTGAAAGAACAAACACATCCAATAAACGGGTTACCAGAAGCAGCCTGAGATGACTTCACGCCAGAAAAAGATCCGGCTACAGTCCTGAAGCTTCTCTCAGAGCTGATCCACTTTTCTGTTACAAGGGAAGTCCACACAGTCAGATTAATCCCAGGCGGCTCCGCCGTGTCAATGTGTTCACTTAGGTGTCCAGATGGTAGGTTTGGAAATGACTTGTTGAAATAGGTTTTCCTTTGAGCCCTGAAGGTACGGATTGATAATCGCTGGAGTCTCTGAGCGGCAGCAGCAGGGAAACCCTCACGCCGTGGCCTCCATCTCTGCCTGCTGGCTCAACGCCTTCCTGCCTTTCTTCGAATGAGAGACCTCACAGTCTGGAAAACAGAAAAAAAACACATCGTTTCTCACTAATCAGGATACATTTCATTTCTCTTCATGCTCTGATTAAAGAAAATCATACATTCAGATGGAGTTATGAAGAACCTCTGCAGCTTTATGTAGTGAATTTAAAGATCATTTGGAGAAAAAAGGCGTCAGCATCTTTACAATCCTCCAAAGAGCTGCTCATACTACTCCATGCAGGACCACTCATGGTGCAGACTAGAGACTGACATTTTTTCGGGAATCCCACGGGTCACGGGATTCCCGCGGGAAGTCAGTATTAGTAACGATCACGTGATTGGGACGGTACAGGATTAAACATTAACGGGAGCAGACAGGGGCGGGAGCAAACCAATAGTAACTAAAAAAAAAAACTAGGATTGATGCCAAAAAATAAAATAAAATAGCAAGAAAAAAATCCAGTACTGGCGCGGCGCCGTCATTTTGTAGTTTTTTTACTTCAGAATCAGAATCAGAATCAAGTTTATTGCCAAGTAGGTTTGCACTTACAAGGAATTTGACTTGGTGTTGTTGGTGCAGACAAAAAACAAAACAAAATAGCAAAATAAGATAGAATATATATAAAATATATATACACAGAAGCTATATACAAACAGTAGACTGTACTGTGTTTTTGTGACGGGAGGTTCTGGTCCTGATGGACCGCAGCCTCCTGCCAGAGGGTAGTGGCTGAAATAGTCTGTGACCGGGGTGCGAGGGATCAGCCACAATCTTCCCTGCACGCCTCAGAGTCCTGGAGGCGTGCAGCTCCTGGAGAGATGGGAGGTTGGAGCCAATCACCTTCTCTGCAGACCGGATGACACGCTGCAGTCTGCTCTTGTCCTTGGCGGTGGCACCAGCGTACCAGATGGTGATGGAAGAAGTGAGGATGGACTCAATGATGGAGGAGTAGAACTGCACCATCATTGTCCTGGGCAGGTTGAATTTCTTCAGCTGCCGCAGGAAGTACATCCTCTGCTGGGCTTTCTTGGTGAGGGAGTTGATGTTCAGCTCCCACTTTAGGTCCTGAGAGATGATAGTTCCCAGGAAGCGGAAAGACTCCACAGTGTCAATGGTGGAGTCACAGAGGGTGATGGGGGTAGCTGGGGCTGCGCTCTTTCTAAAGTCTACAACCAACTCCACTGTTTTTAGAGCGTTGAGCTCCAGGTTGTTCTCCCTGCACCAGGTCACCAGATGGTCAGCCTCCCACCTGTAGGCGGACTAGTCACCATCGGAGATCAGTCCGATGAGAGTGGTGTCGTCTGCGAACTTCAGGAGCTTGACAGACTGATGACTGGAGGTGCAGCTGTTGGTGTACAGGGAGAAGAGCAGAGGAGAAAGAACAAAGCCCTGGGGGGAACCAGTGCTGATGAGCTGTGAGTCAGAGAACTGTGTTCCCAGCTTTACGTGCTGCTTCCTGTCCGATAGGAAGTCTGATCCACCTGCATGTGGAGTCAGGCACATTCAGCTGGGAGAGCTTCTCCTGGAGCAGAGCTGGGATGATTGTGTTGAAGGCCGAGCTAAAGTCCACAAACAGGATCCTGGCGTAGGTTCCTGCGGAGTCCAGGTGCTGGAGAATGTGGTGAAGGGCCAGGTTGACAGCGTCATCTACAGACTGGTTGGCTCTGTAGGCAAACTGGAAGGGGTCCAGGAGGGGGTCCGTGATTTCTTTCAGGTGTGACAGCACAAGACGCTCGAAGGACTTCATGACCACAGAGGTCAGGGCGACGGGTCTAAAGTCATTAAGTCCTGTGGTCCTTGGCTTCTTGGGGACAGGGATGATGGTGGAGGATTTAAAGCAGGCTGGCACGTGACATGTCGCCAGTGAGGTGTTAAAAATGTCTGTGAACACTGTCTGTGAACTTGAAGCCTACACTATAATGCGAGTCAAAAAAACTACACGACCCAAAAACCAACAATGCTTCCGCTCTGAGTTTTTCACCTGCGCTCAAAAAAAAAAAGAAAAACAAGAATGGGAGTGGTGCGGGAGCGGGAGTCATTCTGAATGGGAGTGGGAGTAATTTCACCAGGAGTGGGATGGGACAGGATTTAGATTTCTACTCTGACCCGGGATCGGGACGGGACACAATTTTTTTTCTGTGGGAGTGGGACGGGACAGGAGTAAAAATCCACTCCTGTGTCAGTCTCTAGTGCAGACATGCTAATGCTAGATTAATGCTGGAATTAAGCACCTAAAATGATCCGATTTATTTATGGAGAATCGTTTGTTTTACCTTGGTTACAGTCTGATGCTAAGGTCGAAGTAATTTCTTCTAAAAGCAAAATAATAAGGAATGAAATGACGGGTAACTGCGTTCACAGCTCTGATGTGAATCCCACAGGAGTACTGAGCTCCTTGGTACATGGCACAGCAAATTTTACTATGAATGCTAAATATCCACACATTCCTATCGGGAAGTGATGTAATATGAAACCATGCTTCTGATCCAAAAACGACTGGATCATGGATTTCTCTTCAGGGGAGGGGGTCAACTAGCCTGGGTGCCATTCCGAACTTAGTCCCGCCCACAACGGTTGAGGTCGGGAAGTTCGGTCTGGCATTGCTCAGTAGTAGCGCGAGTATGCTCGCACAATATCTGGCGGGCCAATCCAATTGTCAGGGCGGGCTTTATACGATGATGGACAGATGATCAACAGTAATGTAATCAACCACGTGACTAAAGCACGCTTGGGTGACAACAACAATGGCTGCCGCTGGAGAGTTGAGGTGAGTAGATTCTGCTATTAGGTCTGTTCTAGAAGATATCGACAGCAAATTAATTTTAAAAGAGGAACAGAGAAACGCGATCAAGGCTCATCCTCTTATTCTAGGCGTACAACTGCACGCTTTAATTTTTGTGGACAACAACTATGCGTTGCTTAACATACGTCACGCACTCCGTTGCTCTTATTGGTTGTAGGTCTATCCAATTGAGTGCAGAGGCATTTTTTTTCCTGGTTCGTTCGAAACACGCCCCATAATCACAGCTCTATGGAGCAGTATCAGACTCACATTCTGACTAGAATTGAGTAGGACTACGTCAGGCTAGGGGTCAACTGGAGCCATCCAATAAGGTTTACATATTTTATCTATATAGTAACAGCCATTAAAAATGGCCCTTCTCAATCAAAAGGCAACCGAATGGCAACTTCCAGCCTCTGCAGTGACCCCCTATGCATATTTTTCCTCAGACTCCACCCTTTCACTGAATTACAGGGTCTGACCAGGAGATAAAGCTTCTCTTTAGATCTTAATGTCCACAAATCCTGACAGAAAGAATATTTTAGTACAAATATTGATGTTTAAAAAGGAATTGTAGGGGACCAGCCAAGAGCCCATCAAGGAAAGTGGGGAGATATTGAATGTCTACTACTGTAGGTCTCCTCCAAAACTTCTGGTGTGAACTTTTGCTTTTATTTCTGTTGAAAAAAAAAGTATATTTGTATAAAATATGACCCATCACGTAAACAAAGAGCATAGTTGAGTTAAATGGATTAGTGGGATTAATACGTTATTGTTGACATTAATTAATTTGCTCAATAAATTGGTAAACAGACTGTAAAACAGGTCATTTGCTGAAAGAATAAATTATTCGCAGCTTTAATTATGAAACTATTAACATTTTGTAAAAATTCTTTTTCCATTGTAGTTAAATTTTATAAACATAATTACATGTGTATGTATGAACGCTTTAATTTTTGTCATTTTAACTGTCACTTGATATAATAGGAACAACAAATTTTTCTTTTAACATAAATATTTTGTATATAGACTTTTTAATTTATAAAAAGTATATCTTCTTAGGTTTATCAATCAATCGAAAAAATAATGCATAAATCAATTGATTACTGTAATATGCAATAGGTGCAGCGCTAGAAAAGTGTTTCGACATTTCCACACAGAGTCACGAAAATATGGAAGCTCATATATGAAATAAAACTGGATTACTGTAAGTATTAAAATATAGGAATTCAATGAAAAAGTTTGAAACATTTGCCGAATGAACCAACCTCTAGTATGGATTATAAATACATACCAGGAGTATCGGGCCCCTGCAGGAGGATGCCTTTCAGAAAAGGGACCCCGAGTCAAATTCATGCAACAATATTTCCATCTGCCGACAATAGGAATCAACTACTAGCAAGGTTTTGCAGTTTTTCTATTTTACAAATATATTAGTTGTTCTGTGAATGACTCTTCTTTTGTCAAATGCGAAATGATTAATTACAAAAACAATTTTCTTTATTGGTTAACTGGATTTTTCTGTATCTTTGAGCTGTTTACAGTCTTTCTGCAGCACAGCTGAGCTTTGAACTCCCCCTGCTACCAAAGGCTATCGAAAGGAAACATTTCCTGTTTCCTAAAGAGCACGAGGTGCGTTACCACCAAATCCTAATCGTTTAGGCTGCTGCTGACTGGAGGAAGAACACACAAAAGCCAAACTTCAACAGCGTGTCATGAATCCAGAGGAAGAAGAAGATGTTGTGGAAAATCTTCCTGATTTTTTTCATAGTCAGGAACTGGTAGCAGTGTTAACCCTGAAACAAGTCAGGGATGGTTCCACAAAGCTACGTTAAATCCTCATTTCTGACCATTAAAGGTTTTATTAGGCTGATCTCATTTAGAGCTTAAAGAAATGTAAACCTGCTGCAGTCATTAAATATAAAATAATTTTGTGAACTAAAGAAATTTTCCTAATTCAAGCTTTTCTTCTTCTTAAAGCTTTCATTTTGTTGGGAAACCAGATGCTGACTTTTTGTGAGCAGTTTTAATCTAAAGGGACTGGTCAGGAGATTTCCTGTCAAAGCCCATCCTGGAGGATGAAAGTCATCAAGCACCTGCAGGAGACAGGTGTTGGTGATGTGCAGCAGATTTCCCCTGATGGCACCACAGCTGTTGAATCTGAGGCGAGTAGCAGGGAGGTTGGTTCCAGCTTCACCTCCGGCTTTCTGGGAAGCTTAATCTCAGTCCATAAGTGATTAAATTCCTGTTCTACCTTCACGCTCAATAATCCTCCTAACGCTGAGGAGCAGGTTTTAGCCTGTAGAAATCCGACCAGCCAAATGCGACACCTTCCTCTGTGGTCTTCCTCCATGTGTCAGATCCACATACATCATCCTCTATCCAGTTTATTCACCAGCTGTTTTGTGGCATGGATGCAAGGCTGCACATCTGGAAATCTGATGCACACCTGAAAGGGAACGCGGTCACGGCAACTGGTGACACCTTCAGGTGTCGGACTTTCTTATTAAAGGAATAGTACACCCAAAACATGATTAGCCTTCATTTTCTACTCACCCCCATGCTGAACAACACTCTGGAGTACTTTTTTGATATCTCAAATGCATCTGGAGATCTGGGAGGCTTCTTGCTGTCTGCTGACATTCAAATAATGGAGGTCTATGGCGCCCGAGGCAGAAAGGTCCATAAAAGTCCACAAAAAACGTGTCAATATTCCTCCATACTGCTCGTCCAATGTATTCCAAGTGTCCTGAGTGGGTAGCGTCCATAATTTACTCGAAACGAAGTCATTTAGAATGTTTTTAGAGCATAAACAGTAGTGTATAGGATTTCCTAAAAGCGCGTTCACGAGTCTACGGAAACCGCGGCAGACCAAACCAGATGAAAGTGCGCATTCAGCGTCTGCTCTGCCGATAATGCAAGCGTAGAAGAAGAAATGTGCTGTTTACCTGTGCAAAGAAAGAAACAACGAAAGAAAAATGTCTGAGGACTTCAGTGTTGAGGAAGAGCATGAGTTCTTTGCCGAGCTGAATGCGCACTTTCATCTGGTTTGGTCTGCCGCGGTTTCCGTAGAATCGTGAACGCGCTTTTAGGAAATCCTATACACTACTGTTTATGCTCTAAAAACACTCTAAATGACTTCGTTTCGAGTAAATTCTAGATGCTACCCACTCAGGACACTTGGAATACATTGGACGAGCAGTATGGATGAATATTGACACGTTTTTTGTGGACTTTTATGGACCTTTCTGCCTCGGGCACCATAGACCTCCATTATTTGAATGTCAGCAGACAGCAAGAAGCCTCCCAGATCTCCAGATGCATTTGAGATATCAAAAAAGTACTCCAGGGTGTTGTTCAGCATGGGGGTGAGTAGAAAATGAAGGCTAATCATGTTTTGGGTGTACTATTCCTTTAAGATCTTAATGGTTTGGGTTTTTTGGCTTTATTTTGTATATTTTGTATGTTACTTCTCTCTTAACTTTACCTTGATGCATGGATGTAACTTGGGGGGGTTATGTGAAATTGTTAAATAATTACCTCGTATTGCCCTAGAAATCAGACTGACAACCCACAACTTACATTTCTGCAGGAAAGGAGAGCGACCAGACCCACTGAGGAGTCTGTGGTCAACTCTGCCAGATCCTCTCTTTTCTGCTGCTTTTATTATCGGACTTCAAAGGAGTAACAGGAGGGGTCAGAAGTTGTCAGGAGGGGTCAGAGGTTTACACATGATAGAGCATCATTACAGTTCCTTGTGCAGTTTTATTACAGGTGATGACCAGTCAGCCGCAACAGGCTGGAGAGAGCATGACTTTTCCTATTCCGGGAGAACCATTTGTTCAACAGAATATAAATTTCTCTAACAGTATGGGGGGTGGGGGGGTTGACTTTTTCAAAAGTCTGTGTTTGTCCCCTGTACGTTTTACTGTCCAAAAACAATGTTACACTACAATACACAAACTCTCGTAGCTCAAACTGAAGCCTTCTGGCCTGAGTTCAGACCGCCTCTAAGCTCCTGATTGGCCTCTGTCTTTCCTTGTGTGATTGGCTGTCACACTGTCACTCCTGAGAAGCTCACTTTACAAACATGAGATGCGCCACTGAATCGGGTCTGTGATTGAACAGTCAAACACGCTGAAGTTAGCTGAATTAGAAAATACTTGCGTCCCCCCCACTTCTGACATCAAAGTGTTTTCTGATCTGTTTCTCTTGATTACTTTCTGCTTCTTTTAGTTGTCTCTTTAACTTAGTTGCTGATTATTCTCCTATTTTCGGGTTAGTTCTCCCTTGTGTCTTTCACCACTGTCTAATCATCTCTCCTTCCAGTAATTAGTGGATGCAGTTCACCTGTGCTTCCCTCATTACCTGCACCTGTGTTCTCCTCTGCTGCTGTTCTCCTCTTTGTTTTGTTGGATCCTTTAAGTTGTTTCTTTTAAGCTACTTTCTCATTGTCTGCCTGCTTATTGCCAGAGATCCTGAGTTTCCACATCATCCTCTTTCCTTTGCAGAAGAACAAACTGTCACTGAATCTGGCTCCACAGAATCACTGCCCAGTAAGATCATTTATCAATAGCATGAAGAGGTGAAGAAGCTAAAAGATGAAGATCTGCACTAATACATGTCCTGCCTGATCTGCTTAAAACTCCTGTTTATTTAAAGACTTTTTTGGGTTAAAAATCGTTGTTTTTTGGCTTCATCCAAAGCTGAACAGCTGCATCCGAACCTTTCGATGCCAAAGGTCTAATTTTCAAAGAATCCACATAATGAATGTTAAATCAAAGGAATTATTAGTGCAATAATTTTCCTGTTTCAGATGATAAAAAAAGGTTGCTACAAAAGTTAAGACATGCAAACTGCTGTCACTGCATTTAAACGAGCAGACCATTTTCTCTACTGACAGTTTGAGATGCGCCATAACAAAAGACGTTCTGCCACGGAGATGGAGGGAATAACGATTTTAATGTTATTTAAGGCACACATTATTTAAGTATGTAACAGACAAAAACAAACAACTTTAATATAAAAGAATGAATTTCAGTCATGAAAAGTTGTCTTTGCTCCTCTGCAGACGTCTACTGCAGGATCACTTGTTTTTCTGCTCAGAGCCGTAAATAATAGCTGATTATTTTTTCTTACTTTCCATTTAATAACAGGATTTCTGAAATGCTTGAAACAAACATTAATAAGAAGTTTATTTATACTATATTCAATTTGTTTCTATCCATTACTAATAGGACAATTTATTGATAAGATGTTTGTAAATCAAACAGAAAACTCACCATTTGCCTATTTTAGATTTAATGGAAAACTTTCGACATATGGAAATAATGATGGTTTTGCTGGAAGGGAAGATTTAGTCGCTGGAATCGAAGCTTTAAAACGTGAGTTTTTTCATTAAAACTGGCATGAAATTTATGTTGCAAATGTCGGCGGCTCCTGCAATGTGTTCTTAGAAATATTATTTGAATATTTTGAGATTTTCTAATCAGCAATGCTTTTAAAAACAATGTAAGCAAAATGGGATCAAAGCAGCGAATGACAAAAAGTTTAAAGGACTGTAAAAAGAAGAGCAATCTGTTTGGAGTAAATGAAAAATCCAACCAAGGATTCGGAGAACCAGCAACAGCTTTTTGAACAAGTATTAATAAAGCTCCATCTGATATCAGAGATCTGATTGTTCCTTATGTTCCTAACAGAGCACTTCGCTCTCAATCTGCAGGTTTACTAGTGGTTCCTAGAATTTCTAAAAGTAGAATGGGAGGCAGATCTTTTAGTTATCAGGCTCCTCTCCTCTGGAACCAACTACCAGTTTTAGTCCGTAAGGCAGACACCCTGTCTACTTTTAAGGCTAGGCTTAAAACTTTCCCTTTCAATAAAGCTTAAAGTTAGAGGGGCTCAGGTTATCCGGAGCTTTAACTGTAGTTATGCTGCTATAGGCTTAGACTGCTGGAAGACGTTATTCTGCTTCATTCTATATTTATTCTCCCATTCTGCAATACTTGTTAGTTCAATCTCTAACTGTATGCTCTCTCTGCTTTTTTCTCCTCATAGTATCTTCATCTGGTCTGTCCCTGTTTGGCTATGACTCCATCCTGGAGAGAAATATAGGGAGCTTGTCTTCCCAGCTGTGTTTTTTTCTGGACTCGGCCGCCTGCGGAGCTGGTTGACAGTTGCCTCTATGTCTGCTTCTGTCTCCTTGAACCCCAGTCGGCCTCATCAGATGGTGCTCACTCTGAGTCTGGTTCTGCTGGAGGTTTCTTCCAGTTAAAAGGGAGCTTTTCCTCTCCACTGTCACTCAAAGCATGCTTAGTGTGAGGGATTACCGAAGAGTCAATGAGTTGATGCAATCAACTGGTTTTCCTTAGATAGAAAACTTTGAACCAATCTGAATTTATGATCTGGTTTAATTGCCTCTGTAAAGTGCTTTGAGATGACATGTGTTGTGAATTGGTGCTATAGAAATAAACTGAACTGAATTAAATTGAGAAGTTGATATTGCTGCTACAGGAACTGGAGGTGTTCTTACTGCTCCTTATCAAATCCTACCTACGTGGTTCAAATAGAGATTATGTGAAGAACAAAACGGAGCAGCAGGATTTTCCTCATAACACCACATGTCTGGGCCTCAGATGAAAAGGCTAAGATCACGAAGAGGACCTTTCTCTCTTAAACCCAGAATCCTGCTGCATGGAACTTGCTGTTTTTATTCTGTCAGGAGGTCTGGTTTGCTGTGATTGCATGTGATTTGCTGATGACTGGCGATGATGAATGGTCCGCTAGAACACCTGCTGAGGATTTTCCTCAGAGCACCTGCATGTCTTTCACAAACACCTTCCAGTGGCGGCTCTGCACATGGTTCTGTGTAAGGCAGCTTCCAGGATGTCAGGCTACATATTAATATGGCTTCATGGGAACCTGAAGGCACATAATCTGACCAGATGGCCTGGCAGAGGCTGCGGCCCGACCTGGAGCATCAAAGCATCATGTTGCTTTGATTATAAGCTGCAGAGACACTTTCACAACATCGCAAAGCTAAAACAAAACAAGAATAACGAAGGGATGCATCTGGCGGAGTGAGGGGCAGGAGGACCTCAGCTTGGCGCTTCAGCCCGAACCCCACATGCAACACATCAGCATGCAAACATGCATGTTTCATAAAGAACTCAGGTCATTGCTGATTTGCTGAAACATTTTCATGCGCTCGAGTGACTTTGATGTACAACCTGAAAGATGATGAAGGATTTAAAGATCTTCCGTGTAGAACTCACAGTCCTGAGAAGCTTCTGTGCTGGAAAAGCAGTCCCAGAAAAGGCAGTACATGGTGTGGCACAGGTTGTCCACCAGGGATTTAGGAGAAGCCAATCTCCAGCTGGACTCCGGCACCCTGTCGGGCTCCTCTGTTAACTGATCCCAAATGTCCTGGACGGTCTCTGGAAGCTCCTGCTGAAACACCTGGAAACAGCAAAACAACCACAAACACAGCTGAGAGGCTGACAGGCCTTCTTCCAACTGATGGATGACTGACTGGCTGACTGCCGTGATAAATCCCCAAACCCGCCGTTCAGCCCTCGAATAACCTCGGCAGAATTCAACTCGCTCTTCTCAGGCTCTGTTTAGTTTATGTTTGGGACACTGAGGCTCCAGCCTGTTTACATTCCTACTTTGATGCAGAACATCTATAAATATATTCAAAGGCTTTAAATCCCAAATCCACCAGATTTCTGTTAGAGGTGAATATTTGTAGTCCTGCTCCTGCTTCCTTCCTAACTTCTAGCTCTGATTGAAGCAGATCATTAACATCCGGACCAAACCCTGACTCATCCTGACCTATTCCTGTCTTTATTCTTACGGCTTATTCTGTTTCTAGAAACAGTTTTCTGCAGGGTTCAGATCCGCACAAGTCCAGTATTTCTGTATTCTGACCTCTGAGGCACGCTGCAGTAGGAAGATCTTTGAAATGCTTTCCTACTCGGACACTGAGGGGTCTTTAGTAGAAGCTTTAAACGGACGCACCAGCAGACAGGATCCACTTAAATCGTTGGTATTGCTGGGTCTCAGTGGAGACACCAATAGACTTAGGAGTCCACGTTTACTGGATGGGTTCAGGTCTTTTTCATCCGGTAAATATTAATCCACATGTGGTGCTCCTCAAGGCACTGTTCTGAGGCCACTGTTTTAACTACGAACGCCTCTCACTTTATACGGATGACGCTATGCTTTTTATTCCTGCCACATGACCAAAGCTCATTACAGTCATGAGACTAGTGTGTCCATGTTATCCATGGGTGGATGGAGCATAACTTAATTGGGTTTAATGTTGATAAGACAGAAGTTATTGATTAACTCGACCCAATGAGGCCAAAGGTATTCTCTGTCTTTGATTGAAACATTTCGAAGCTGCTGACAGGTGTGAACGGAGTGGATCCCTAAGCTCTGTTAACTCTTGGCTTCCAGGACCAGAACTTCCCAAGCAAATGTCTGAAAAGCATCCATTAGATCAGCAGAAATCTAACTGTTTTTAATCATTTCTCCTTTTTGGGGTTTTAATGCCTCCATAGCAGAACTGGGGTCAGTTTGAAAAAAGACTTTAAGGGTAAACTTCAGCTGACCTTTGCTGTAAATAGTTTCTAAATAAATAGACTGAATTTAATTGGATTTTAGAGGAAGACTCCACTGCTCCTTTGGGGTTGTGATCTAAAATTATGAAATTACTGGAAGGTTTGAAAACAACTTTTAATGTGATTTAAGGTCATTACTGTCACTTCTCTTTAGGTAAAGATCAAGTATTTCAGTAATGTGACTGTGGCAGTCTGAGATCCTTATGTTTGATGGAGATAAAAAATGACCAGAGGTCACAGACGGAAAAATGTTCACAGCCACAATAGAGCCTCTATTATTTTGTGTTCATCTGTTAAACCAATTACTTTATGGACCGAAGAAATTCTTTAAACTCCAAACCACGAGAGGACTGGTGAGATATGATCCAGAATCAGATAACTGATCAGTTTTGGATCCAGCCTGCCGTCTTAGCTTCAGATATCTGCTCCGTTATGAGGCTGCAGGGCAGCCTGGCCTTTAATGCACACTATGCTCTATATGCATAAACTGCATAAATCTCTGCTTAGATAAGTCTATGAGGTAAAAGTCCTAGTCAGTGTCGGGATTTGACACAACTTGAATAAATTAAGATGTTTTTTATCCTTGTTTTTTAGCTAAAAAAGGCATACATCATGTTGAATCTGTGAGAATACAAGTTACAAAGATACATGAATCACACATTTCCGAGTACGAGTGGACAGCCTGATAAAGCTGCTACACTCCTGACCAGTTGGTGGCTGTAAAGCACCTCATGGTCGTCGCCAGCCTCCTTTAAAATAAGAGGTGAACGAAAACAAAACCTCAGATCAAATGTTGCATCTTCCCTGAGATGTTTTCACTGCATTCTAGGTCGTTTCTCAATTCACAAGAATGCGAGTAAAGACCCGCTTCCTCGCCAAGTATGTTCTTGAGAAGAACACAGAAAAGTGTGGACTTGGGGAGAACGGGAGCACAAAGCATAAATATGGGTCAATTGGAACAGAAGCCTACTCGTGACATCACCACATGCCTGGCTCATTTAGAGCTGCATTTCACCTCCTCTTATTAATAGTCTCTAGATAATAATACATTCTTACTCTTTTCATTTAGTGGGGGAATAATAATGAACACAGTCAGATAAACATAAATCAAATGAACATTTTGCCAAATAAAACAAAACAAATCGCCTTCAGAGCCAGCGGTCCTTCACACATGGCTATGCCCAAAGAGAGGGCTGCTGCAGACCGGTGGCGGTTAGCGCTGGCTGCCGTTAGCCTCAGAGGTCCGCTGGTTGCCGTGGTCCCCTAAACTTCTGATTTTTTTATTTTTTTTTTATTACGCATTAAATCGGTAAATGGACCACATAGTGATGCTTTAAAGTATAATATTCTCGCCTCAAATGATCTTAAAATGTATTTTACTGAACAAAATCAACAGAAAAGAGAACTTTTAACTTCATAGTCTGAGCTCTGTGAGTGCTCCCCTGGAAGCTGCTGCTGCAGCAATGCATGCTGGGACAGCTGTCAATCTCAAGAACAGACAAGTCTGCTCTGATGCATGCTGGGTAAATAGGGAGGGAAGAGAACAGCATCCGGGGACTTTGTCCATTCTCTGTCTTCTTGGAGAGAAATATCAGCTGTGCTGCTGCCATCAACACCTTTATTTATAGATGTTGGAGATTTGCCTGTTTTCCAGTGTAGTCCTGTTTCTCTGACAGTGACTAACTGGATGTGCTCTCTTCATCCTCTGACCTGGGAGCTGGCTCGGAGCTCGTCTGCCTGGCTGTGTGTTTCCTGGACGGTCTGCCTTTTACAGCTGCTTTTTGTATCTCTGCTTCTGTCTCCTTGAACCCCAGTGGGCCTCAGCAGATGGCCGCTCACACTGAGCCTGGTTCTGCTGGAGGTTTCTTCCTGTTAAAAGAGAGTTTTTCTTCTCCACTGTCGCTACAAGCATGCTTAGTGTGAGGGATTGCTGAAGAGTCAATGAGTCGATGCAATCAACTGGTTTTCCCTATATAGAAAACTTTGAATCAATCTGACTGTATGATCTGGTGAACTGGAAAGTGCCTTGAGATGACATGTTGTGAATTGGCACTATAGAAATAAACTGAATAGAATTGTTCTTGTGAACTGCAACAGTACTATTGCTAAGGCTGATGACATTTCACAAGTACACAAGTACATTAGAATGCACAAGTAAACATATTGAGAAACGGCCATTGAAAAACGGCATCAGTTTAATGCACGCTTTTCTCTTCTTCTCATTTAAAGAAGGTTGGTGATAAACTGATGGGCTTTACTGCCGCCAACTGGTAAGGAGTGTAACAGCTAGTGGCAGATCTAGGGGGCGGCTACTTGGAACGGATTATATCAGGTGGCTAAAATATTTGATTTCCTTCTTATAACTATGCAAGTAATGATCAAATGTCACCAAATCCAGAGGATTTGTTGTTGATGAAGAGAGAGAGAGAGGAATAAACACAGTTAAAGATTTTGCACGTACATTTATTTCTTTCCATGTTATGGAGGGGGAATGGATTATTTCCGGCAGCTAAAATGTCCATTCTCTTCTCTCGTCCTCCCATATCTTTGGTAAGTAAATAGAAACCGTTTCCAAATTCTCAAAACTTGTTATGCGTGATAGCATGTAGTATACTATAAATATCCTTAATCCAGTAATCTGTCATATTTTACTTCAGAGATTAACCAGAAAGTTTACACTCTCATCTTTACCCTCAGGGCTCAGCCCCTGATCACCTAGAATCTTAGATCCGCCCCTGGTAATACCTCTATGATGTTCTTCATTCATTCTTGTGAATTATTAAATTGCACTTTTAGAATGACAAATTGTAACCTCTAAAGCTACCATAGGTCTGTATGAGGCACATAGGAACAAATATTATATTTATTCACATTACTGGCTTGCTGTAGATTTACGTATTCCAACATCTATGCGTAAGTTTTTCATTGATGGCTATTTTGCCCCAGATAAGTCATTTTAAAAGAAGAACGGACAGAACTGGTATTCTTCCCTCTTCTGCACTTGACTCAATAATCAGGCAATGAGCAGAAATGTCTCAGTTTTCCAGCAATAAGCTTGTTACTGCTTAACCTTAACAGATCAAAGATCTGATCTACATTTAGTTTGTTAGCTTAAAAGGTCAGTCTTAAGGGAACTTGGCTGCAGTCTTAGAGCAGACACGTAAAGTGTGAGTCCTACCTCAGCAGGATGAGAGTGAACAAAGACGCCTTCAGCATCCCTGAACCGCCTCTCCAGCTCCGCCGTGTACGGACGTGAGGGATGTCTCTCCGGTAAAACCCGAATGATCTGCAATCAGAACCAGAGCTCAGTTTATGACTGATTTCTATTAAAAATATACCATTAGATGGAGAAGTACATCATCCAGTTTCACATTCAAGATGCATTTTGAGTTTTCAAGATGAAATAACTAAAAACTATTTTCTTCCAAAGTCTCCAGAGAACTGAATAGTTTCTGAAGTCATTTAGGGTTTTAATCAGTCACAATGTTTCCTCCTCACGGTGTTTAGACCACAGTAGATCCATTAAGTCCTGGCATGTAGGAGAAGGAGGCTCCATGGATCAGCATCAGTCAGAACCTCCTATAGATGATCTACTGAGCTCTGGACCTTTTGGAGGACAGGTCAGGACCTTATACTGGGCGTTGTGGATTCCTCCTGTTGGAAGAGCGGGCTGCTGGTTGTTGTTTTGGCCAGAGCTTCATGGCAGAGCAATTCAATTCAGTTTATTTATATATAGCACCAATTCACAACACATGTCATCTCGCGGCACTTTACAGTTCATGAGCAGCAGCGTCGACATGACGAATCTCCAACGAATCTCATAATTTTTCTTTGATTTATTCTAAACTCAATTTTAAAAAGTTAAACAAATCTCTAATATTGAATAAAAAAAGGAATCACAATGATGACTTTGTTCCTTAGAGTTTAATCTCCAATCAGCGTTTAAATGTCAAACAGTTTTTCTGCTAAAGTACGGAGCTCCAAAGAGGACACAATTTCCTCTCTGTTCTGATCTCATCACAGTCAAAAACATTTTTCCACCTCAAAACCTTATTTTATGTGGAAAAGCAAATCGACAAAAAAAAAAAAATGGTTTGATTTAACGGATTTGAATGAAAGTTGAAGAAAAGTTGCTTTTTTTCTGAGGAAAAGCTGGAGAGATAGTTTCATTTTAAGCATTTCCATTTCGATCAAAACACTGATTATCTGCTGTTTGAAAAGTGAAAAAATAAACTGCAGCTTCAAAAAACCCTGAAGGGTCTGTTGACATTTAGCAGCTAAACTTGTTTTATGTGTTCTGAGGGAAAATGTGTGATCAGATGATGTGCTTTTGAAACCGACCCGGAGTTTTAGCTCAGAGTGAAGATTTATCCCGGAGCCGTGCCAACAGTACGGTGTCGGCAGTTTCAAACAACAAGCGCATGACAGGAAGCAAGATGAAAGACTTTTACAACATTTTGCACAAAGATGGAAAAGGTATGGAAGCTGCCCGACCAAGCATGTTTACTTTTGATCACAGAAGCTCAACAGGGGTTTCCATGTTTCCACAAACAAAGAGGGATGATGAGTTTTAAAGGTTTATTTCTGAACTGATTTGCTGCAGCTGACTGAAATAACAGATCAACTCACTTAGCTGCAAATACCAGCCACTATTAGGTTACACGTCGGTCAAATGCAGTTAGAGAAGATATTAGTCGGAAGCGGACGGCATTTATCCTCCTAATTCCTGACGGGTGATTCTCAGTGAGAGCCTGCAAGAACAAGAGTCGATCCAGTTTATCTCTGAGATCTGGAACATTTGGAGCATTAGTGAACTAGAACATGAAGGGTTCGTTGCTTCGACTGTTGGGAGGAGGCGTTGAAAAGCTGGGTGAGCTGCGTGTGCTGGCATGCACACATTGTCAGCATGAATCCGACAGGAAACAATAACAAATAATGGTTTCTGTCTGCATTATCTGAGTGGGTCTGGCTCCTCCATGTGGCGGTTTGTAACTACAGCTTTAACCGTGACCTTCATCCCCAAGATGAACATTTCATTATCCCAGAAACTTCCAAACATCATTAGAATAAAGCATAACATCTTTAATAACAGCTGTCGTGCAGAAACCCTTCAGCAAAGGTTTGCTGTCTGATTTCACACCTTTGGCCACTATCATACTCTTTTTTTTTTTGGTTTTGTTCTCAATCTGACTGTTTATAGTAGTAAGAAGTTCAGGGGTTCAAATCCTGGCCGTTGTTCTTTCTGCACGGAGTCTACATGCTGGTCAGAATGCGTTGGGATGCAGAGGCTCTCATGGTTGGCTTAATCACAATCTCCACTACCGTGCCTACAGTAACAGCTGACATGAGGAGTTCGTGGTGCTTGGTTTTCTGCAGACACAAGGCTCTCGGTCCATTCTGCTTCACTGCTGTTAGAGATGAGAGGCTTTCTCCTGTCACGCTGAGGAGGCCTGTGGAGACGGAGCTCCTCAGTTTTCCTGTCAGTTCTCTAAGCATGCAGGCTCTGAATAAGTCCTCTGATCCTGGGAAGATCACCAGATGTTGAAACACTTTCATGTTGGGAAAAATGTTCCTCTCTTTAAAACAACAAACTTAATCCTAAGTAAAGCCCTTAAACACCCTCCAGATCGATACGTGCAAACGTTGCTTCTCTACGCCATACGATTAACTGGCTCCATCACATTTTTTCTATTTAGGCTCCATCTTTGCTGAAGAAATACTGGCAGCTTGTGAATAAACTATGTCTGTGCAGAAGACGGCCATTAGTGAAGGTGTTAGAGTCGTCCTGGGTAGATAAGCAGAAACAGACCCCAACCATATATTTCTTTTCAACATTGGCAGATTTTTCCTTAGCATTTCTCATCAAGGTTTTGAACCCCTTAAGTTTTCTATTAGTACCAAGGGAAACCCACCTTTTTTAAGACACCTTGGTTGACTTGAAACCACAGCCTCTGAAGAACCAGCTCATCCAGGCCCTCCACCTTTAACTTCTGAAGAAGACAATAATATTGGCATTAAATGTAATCAAACACAAACAGGTGGGCATATATGCGCCCATATTTTAGCCAAAGCTCTGCAGACTCTTCATAACTGGTCTTTGCTGCTGTTAATCCAGATCTGAACAGGACACTATGTACTGCAACATAAACCAACAGAACTGTGCTGTGAAAGTAGGAAATCATGCATTTCATACCATTTTACTGATATTTGACAGCTTAAAGATCTCCTGGTGATGAACTCGGATGGAGTAGTTTATGGGGAAGTTGTGCTTCTGTAAGGGAGAAAGAAAGAGAAGCATCAAGCATCAAACCAACTGCAGAGTGAGGAATAGAAATGGATTGTTCAGAGGCGAAATATCTGGAAGGTTTCTGCACCAGTGGAAACGACTCTGCAGCTTTAGCTTTCTGGAAAGACTATCAGATGGTCTTTTAGCTTCAAGGCTGATTGATTTCTGCTGCATTTTAGCCCAAACTAATCAGCTGACATCAGCATCACCACAGATGAAGCTGTAACAGAGTCCAGCTGAGATGCTCCATCAATCTAACCAGTTGATTAGCTGAAACCATCTCTGTCCTAATCTATTAGCAGGAATGGCTGCCGTTGGTAGTTAGCATCAGCTGCAGGCAGCCTCTCCTGGATCAACAGGACCTTGAAGCTAAGATGCTCGGCTGCAACGTTCGCAGCTTTGAGATCTACAGCATCAAGGAGTAACCAGAGCAGGGCTTCCTGGTGGTTCTAAGAGCATTAGAGGCCTCTACAAGAAAAAGTGCAGCAAAGAATCTGCTTCAGTCCCAGAAAAGCACCAAAACCAGCAGAAATTCTGCAGGAAAAGCCAAGATGGACACCATCCTGGTGCAAAGTGACTTTCACTGATGATATGCAATAACCGCTCCTTCCAACCAACTAGGAACATTTTAGAGATACTGTGTGAATCTTCCAGCGTGACGGGGCGCCGTGTCCTACGGCTAAAGTCATAAAAATGTGGCTCAAAGATCAGAACGTTTGGACCTGCAGTCAGGAAATTCCCCTGACCTAAACCACGGCGACAAGCTTTGGACGGTTCTAAGAAAAATAGAGAGGGGGAGAAAAACCAACTGAGACCAAGTCCCAGAAGACAAGGGTTGGTCAACCGTAGTGAGGATCTGATGCATTCATGCAAAAGGAGGCCCAACCAGGAGCTGCATTTCTCCAACCAGGAGATATCCAATAATGGAAGGATTGAAATATTTTGCTATATGTCTAAATCAATATTACAATATTGATCTTTATTCAATATCCCCATAATTTTTAGATAATTTATTCTTCTTGTTTTTGCAACCAAACTGTCCCATCAGAAGGTGATAGTGGTATTTCTTCTCATAAATGATATTCTGTCTGATCAAGAGTCCTGACTGCAAACGGTTACTCGTAAAAACAAGTTTTCCCCTCCGAGCCTGAGCCGTCATCTCACTGCAAACATTTGGCCTCTGACCAAGTCCTACAATCTTGATCTAAAATCTAATTTTGAGAGAAAAAACAACAACTGGTTTGGTCTTCTAGGAACCACAACAGTTATAAAAAAGATATATACAGGACGGGGTGAATAAACCTCTGGCTGTTTACATATTTAAAAACCTGCCTGCTTAAAAAAGAAAAAACGGTGATAAGGCACTATAATGCCTGTGGCTCCGGGTCCCACATCTTCCTAAAAATGGTCCTATTGCAGCACTCTGAGCATCACATGTCACCCTGTCAAAACCACACAATCCTCACCTTGTCGATGCTAAGCTAACGCTAACACCTTCCTTCATCTAAGTTCAAGTTTCCACGTCAGAGGACGATGGGTGGACCGCCTGCTGCTGCTCCTCATCCGTTCCCTCCAGGTTACACCAACATCTTACCATGAACCGCCGCCTGTGGCTGAGGCTGTCGTTGAGCGTCTTCAGTGGCGTGCACATGCTGGGCGGCGTGGGAGCCATCAGAACCGGAGCCATCAGAAGCAGGCCTAGAAAAGACGGGACAGATTAGCTGTACAAGCTGTCATCACCATGTGCATCTCAGACTCAGACATGCAGGAAGGACTGATTTTAAACAGGGTGCGGGCATTAAAGGATGCACGTGTCTCTGCTCGGGTCTTTGTTTCTGGTCCATCTCATCTTTGAGGTAATCCAGTGAGAGGACAGGAAAACCAGGCGTTTTTTCATTTTTAACAAATGTGGCGTCAACCAGTCAGCAGACGCATCAATAACCGATCATCAGATACTGGAGTTTGGTCAGTTTGACCTCAGAGAAGCTGCTCTGCTCCGATCGAACAGGGTCATCTCTGAACGATTAAAATCCTTCACCACCACTACGCCGTTCAACAGTCGGCATTCTTTGGGAATGGAAGACCCGGCACATTTAGCTCAGAAATAAAAGAAAGAACCAAGAGCTTCAGCTCAGACTCTACAGGTCAAAGGTCACGACAGGACAGTTAGAAGGACTCTGAACAGACATGGCTGTTTGTGGCAGAGGAAGAGGATGGAAGCATCAGTTCTGAACAAAGCAGGAGACATTTGGAGCCATGTCCTTTGGACAGACGGGACTAAGGTAGAGATGATGACCCTAGAGAGAAAAACAAAAACCAATCCATAACCTATCCTGGAAAGCCCCACCAAGATAACCATCTGTATTTAGGGGGTAGAAATACAAATTCCCCATCAAACTAAAAAAAGCCATAGCCCCCCCCCCCCCCCCCCCCACCCCCCCCCCCCCCGCTGTTCCCACAGTTAAACCCGCAGTGATCACGGGTGCAGTTTAGTGAAACCAAACTGGCTGGACTAATAAAAGCGAATAGGCTCCAAGTCGTAAAATAAATTGCTCATTATTTAAACTCAACCGTGAAAAAAGTCCAACAGAGCTGGACTGAATTTGGCTATGGAGAGAAAAATATCAGCCAATCAGGGCACAATCAATTGTTTCCAAATATGCATACAATACAATGCAGACAGGTTTGATTTTAGCATCAACATAAGAGAATAAAAATTTACAGACAGAAAAAAAAACACAAAAACAAGAAATCCAACACAAATAAATTAACTTGTTAGGAAAGCCATAAATAATATAAAATAAACAGCTCAGAAATGATCAGAAAAGACAGTGACAAAAACCCAAACAGCAGAGGATATAAAAGATGATAAAAAGGTTTTCTGTTAGTTAAAGAAGATTTGACTCCTTTAGTTTCTACTTCCAACATCTTTCAGGAGGTAAAAACGGTTTCACTTTCATCTTATAGTAAAATGGATGCCATACATCAATCATATTAATAATGAAAATTAATCTCCAGTTGGATATCTTGGAAAATCCTGCTTTTTATGTGTAGATTCAAGGAAAGAATTATTAAAGCGCATTAAATCAATTCTTATTTTATAGAAAAGAGTCATCAGTAGGAAGTGTTACTATAGTCCACAGATCCTTTATTCTTACAATTAAAACAGATGAAATTTTACAGAGAACCATCCGCTTTTATAAATTATGTTTAGAATTCAGCATAAAATGTTAGCAGTTTATCAGCAGAAAAGTCCAATTAACGAGATCAAATATTATATTTGAAGGGAATAGAGATTTATGCAAACCTGAAATCCAAATTACAGTAAAGGAAGATTACATCTCTGTTCCTCAGATTAATGTAAGGAATCTTAAAAAAAAAGAAAAAGTAAACTAAAAGAGGAGACAATCAGATAAGCTGCTTAAATATCATTTTACTCATTAAGAACTTAGGTGTTATGAATAAAATCAAATTCTTCTTGTTTTTATTTCCAACTGGTGGATAAATAATAAAGTTTTTTTTATTATCTATCCAAAAACTCTATGGAAGCATATTGATCGGTATCTTGTAATTACGAGATTTTATCTCTTAACTATGAGATCTTTCCTCATAATTACGAGATAAGATCACATAAGATAATATATCTAGCAGATCATGAAGGACAGTCATTGCTGAGCTACACCACATGAAACATGAACAATGAGTGCGTTGACGGATTCAATATGCTTCTTATTTCCTTTAAGGTATGCAGCACTGGGAAATACTGGGTTTCCTCAATGTGGATGAAATTAGTTTTAGTTTGTCAGCATTGCACAGTGAGTCCTTAGAATTGCTTAGGCTAAAAAGCCCACTGTACTCTGACTTGCTGGAAATCGCCCTGTTCCTACAGGAGCAATTAAACCAGCATGGGAGGCTTTATGGCTATGAATTAATGCATCTGAAATGCATTTTTGCTAGCTTAGTGTTGTCCCAAAGAACTGTCCACCGGTACCTTCTCAAAATCCTCGATCCGCAAGGAGTACAGCTGAGGCAGAATCGTTTAAAAAAAGACCAGGTCCCAACTTTATGCAGCATGTTGATTCATATGAAACACTAAAACCTTACGGAATCTGTGTTAATGTAGCTGTAGACGGATTTTCCCATATGGTCATAAGGCTGCATGCTTATAAGTAGTAATCCCAGGGTTATAGCTGCGTACTTTATTGATAAAGTGAAAAACAGGAGCGGAGCTCCAACGTGTATCAGGACAGACCTCGGTACAGACAACTGTTCGGTCGAACAGATGCAGATATTTCTAAGACGTAATCATAAAGACCAGGTTTCTGAGAGATGCTACATTACTGGCTCAAGTAATCATAACCAAATATATAGACAAGATTACGAGATAATATCTCATAATTACTAGTGATGCCATTTTTTGGCCCCGATACCTGGCTGTGCAGCATCGGCCGATACCGACACCATCTGTTTGAAATTGATGTGTGTGTATATATATGAAGAGCTGCATACTACTTGGATGTAAAATAATGGCTTTGTCAAGCTGCTGCCTACCTTAGTGAAGCAGGAAAAAGACTAATACCAAGTAGAATTCCAGTAGAACTTTTCATTGCCTACCAAGGATGCGTGACAATAGTTGAATAAACTTTTGGCTCTCTAAATGGTATCGGTGCCCTATTTGTCGGTATTCGCCGATACCAATACCACTGTTTCAGTGCAGTATCAGTTCCCTGTCCGATACTGGTATCGGTATGGTTGCAACACTAATAATTACGGCATACTGACCTCGTACTTATGAGATAAGCTGTCTGATATGTTTTGACTTGGTGTAAAACTCATATTTTAATAATTTATTTTTCTTTGAGGAAAGCGGGAAAGAATGTTCTTTTAACCCTTTCTCAATTATTTCTCGATTTATTTACATAAATAATGAATGATGAAAATGTGTTTTCTTAGTGAATGAATGAAATAAAAGATGAAACCTCCGGGAGGATAATCTGCTCTGCAGATTGCTGGGTATTGCTGCTTTTCCCTGACCATCGTTACCTACTTTGTTCTCCATTTTTCAGCTCAGCTGCAGCTTTTCTGCAGGACTGATCTTCGTGGACCCAGGCGGCTGCAGTTTTACGTCTTCAGGACAAATGTTTCCGATCAATAAGCTGCTGAAAAGCCCTGTGATGATGGACTGTTTTAAGTTTTCTGGAAAGTCCTGATGATTCAAATAGTAGCATCACAAGACACCAGAAATCTGATCCTCTTTGTCTGACTGCGTACACAGATGCACATGGAAACCCTTCACATTTTGAACCGTGCTGATTGTGACTTTGCCTTAATCTACAGGTTCCTCTCCTGAGACCCACATTTATGAGCCTCAATCCCTTCTGATGTTCTCATGTTGGTTTTTTCAAGCCACATGCAGAAACACACAGAAAACCAGTGAAATTTAACATTTTATTTATAGCAGCAACAAGAATCTGGAAGCGGAGAACTGCAGGAAGTCAGCTGAACTTTCTGGTTGGTTAGACGGGAGAAAGCAGGCTGACCTTGAAGGAGCTGGTTGATGACAACTGATGACAGATTGATTTGCTTACTTGAGAGATTAAGTGGAAGTAGCTTGGATCTGTAAGGGTTTGATTCAGTGCCCCTGTGAGTGAGATGCGAGGGTGTGGGTACTTAAAGAGACATTGCGCTAGAGAGTGGGCAGGCAGGTGATGAAGACAGAGAACTGCTGCAAACAGGTAAGACCTTTAAATTCAATTCAATGCAGTTAATTTCTATAGTGCCAATTCACAACACACGTCATCTCAAGGCAATCTACAGAGACAATTTAACCAGATCATACAGTCAGATTACTTCAAAGATTTCTATCTAATGAAAACCAGTTAACAGCATCCACTCATTGACATTGATTTTACAGGAAGAAACATCCAGCAGAAACAGGCAAAGTGTGAGCGGCCATCTTCTGAGGCCGACTGGGGTTCAAGGAGACAGAAGCAGAGATACTGTCAACCAGCTCCACAGGAAACAGACAGCCAGGCAAATGAGCTCCAATCCAGCTCCCATGTCAGAGGATGAAAGAGAGCACATACAGGAGGTCACAGTCAGAGATACAGGACCACATAGAAAAACAGGCCAAGCTCCAACATCATGAAGATCCATGAAGATCTGAGACGAACTGAGGTTCACTGGTTGTCTGGAACAATAACAGAGTCCCCAATAAAAGAGATTCCCAAGAAGACAGGTTTCAACTGGAAGGATATTCCTGGTTTAGGTCTTTGGCTGGAATACCATCAGGGGTAATCATCCAGCGAAAAGAGAGATTATGCTTTACCTCCTTATTCACACGCTAGTCATCATGATTGAGAAATGTTCTCAGGTGTAAGAGATTACACAGTTAAAACAGGCAAAGAAAAGAGACCCACGGGATTGCCTAGGTTTCAAATGTTTTGCTTCTTGGACATAGGCCAGATTTGTGTGGTCAGTCCAACAGGATGCTCAGCTCCCTCCGCCCAGTGGCGTCACTTTTTAAAAGCCATTTCACTGCATGAAAAGTGAGATTTTCGTCCCCGTAAACCCCCGTAAACTCCCGCAGATCTGCCTGATTTTCGTCAGTTTCCGACAATTTGCAATTTTTAACACTATGAGCTCTCTATCACATGGATTGAGTTTATCATCATTAGAGGAAATTTGAGAAAGGACTG